TATGTATGTATATGTATATGTATCTTCTTTATCCATTCATCTATGAACAGACACTTAGGTAGTTTCCATATCTTGGCCATTGTAAATAATGCTGCTTTAAGCGTGGGAGTGTGGATATCTCTTCAAGATCCTGATTTCATTTCCTTCAGATATATATCCAGAAGTGAGACTGCTGGATTGTATGGTAGTTCTATTTTTAATTTTTTAAGGAAACTTCACATACTGTTTTCCATAGTGTTTGTACACAAGAATTCTCTTTTCTCCACATCCTGCAATGCTTGTTATCTCTTCTTGATGCTGGGCATTCTAACAGGTATGAAACGATGGGAAATCTGTCTACTTCATTTTTTTTTTGATTGACATATAGATGATGTTCAATGCAGTGATTTACAACTTCTAAAGGTTAGAGTCCACTTATAGATATAAAATATTGGCTCTATTCTCTGTGTTGTACAATATATCCTAGTAGCTTACTTTATTATAACATGTGTCTGTATTTCTGAGTCTATCATTTGGATGGATTTCAGAATTCGAATTAATTGGTCAGCTATGTTAATGTTCCTGAAACATGTTAAATTGTTTTCCAGAAAAATCGTATGGGTTTGCAGTGGCAGTCACACGAGTCTCTCATTCCCTGGCCCCATATGGCTCATTCATGGTGTGGTTTCATGGCCATAAGATGGAATCACCAGTTACAGTAGTCTCATTCCCTTTGTTTGTGAAATAATATATAAGGTTTCCAGGGTTGTTATATTGATTAAAGAATGTCTAGGATGCATGTCTCAGTGATTCAAGAGACAGTAGAAGTTTCAAAAATTCTAATTTCCTTTCCGTGACCCTTCTCTCTGCTTCTTTCATAGAGCAGATAACTAACTCGCAGGGAGCCCGAGACAATTGCTCGGTGTCCCAGAGCAGGTCAGCCTCAGGGCTGGGATTGGAGCCCAGGGCTTTTCCTCCTTGCTGGGAGCTCTCGTTCCCTGTGATATTTCCCTTTGATCCCTGCCCCAGCTGATTAGTACACATGCTGACTCTCAGTCAGTGAAACCTCCCTCCCACCTCAGTCAGCTCCATTAGACCTGATTCAGCTCTCAGCCTGGTGTCTGAGCCCAGCAGACATGATCTTCTTGGAGAATCAGATGCATAAAAATCCTTGAGTCAT